TTTGGAACCGCGCCACAATGGAGAAATAAAGTACGTCATGGAAATGTTTTTGATGAGATTCCCAGGAGCTGAGTAAGGACTTCAACCCGTCTTGTTTATATGACTTTACAATCTGATGTACAGCGGTTATCCATGCATATAATATTGCAAATGGATTTGAACAATGGGGGAGATCCTCGCTTGATTGTTCCAGCATACATGTATTTTGTTTTATGGAGTCCAATTATATCTACAACACTTGATCAACGTCATTTTTTGACCTGATTGATTTTTCATACCTTGACTACACATCGAAATTAATGTACATCACTTTTCTCTCTATGATATAATGGCAGTGCCCGTTTTTGCTATGGGAAACCCAAAACATGTGAAAAACAAAAATTAATGGTACTCTGAAAGTTTCATTAAAATTCATTTTTTAAGAGGAGTTGCGGATAGCCAGTTTAAACATTTCCTAGGTCTGTACCAGTTTTTTTTTTCAGGGGAACAACTTTATGGAATATTGGAAAAGGAACCCCTCTTCCTTTTTGACGCCATTTTCAAAGCAATATTTGTTTGAGTATTCCATTTAAATTTAGGATTTAATTTCATTATGTTATTATTATTAAAAAATCTTTCAGAATGATATTTTGCTCTGGGAAACCCAAACTATGTGTTCGATAAAAATTCCAAATTTTAAAGTCTCATATCCATCAATGTGCCTTGTCCCAACACATACCTGAATTAACCTCCGTTAGGTTTTTGGATGTCAAATCTTCATTGTCCTCCCATCAAAAACATTTTTTCTCAGTTACACACTTCCTCCATCGTTGTTGTGGCCAAAAAAACGTTGTTTTCCTCCCGCAAACGATTACGTTTGATCGCTGCGCCCACCTGGATCATATGCATGTTGCTTACAAAAACATAACTAATTTATTAAAAAATAGCATTTATAAATTGTGGTTTATACTATAGATAGAAAAGATGATGCTAACTTGCTATTTTAAAATTCATTGACGTACCTAAAGTGGTTTTAATTTTATGGCGCTAGTTTGACTCAATGATAAATTTTTTGCTGACAAATCAACCACTCCTGGTGACTTTAAACGAGACAGCTGAAATTCTTGTTTTATCAATTTGTTTATCAATGATTTACCTCGTTTTAAAACTGATATATAAACTCCGTTTTTGATGAAGGTGTATTGCTACATCACAGGGAAGTTGATCTAACAACCATTGCGCAAATGCCTGCTTTTTACAGTTTTCTAAAAAGTGATAAAGTTTTATATTTGAAACATGAAATTATGTGTCTTCATAGTAAATAAATGTTTTCAACTTTTGTTTCAATTTCTCCGAATCGTTCATCTCACCAGTTTTCCATTTAGAACGCATGTAAAATATAATTCAAAACGTTTATTTTGTAAATTGTTTGATTGTTTAACATCCCTTCTAAGATTTTCTCAACTTATATTGTCACACTAATTTACCACTGGGCTTTCCGCTTTGAAGAGTGAGAGAACTTTTTGTGTCATCTCTTACTGTGGAATACAATGTAGGACCTCAGATTTCACGGTCTCATCCGAAGGACCAGTCTCCACATCCTGTAGTGGGATTCGAACCCGCGATGTAGATATATAAAGCATACGCTATAACCTCTGTGCTATGCAGGTACTTTCCCAGATTAAATTTTTTGTTTTCTAAGGTTTCAGTATTGCTACATAGGTAAGGGAAGTTGAGCACCTTTGCCTCACTAAATATTTGAGCCTAGTTACGGCCTTGAAAGTTAAAGGTATCACGTTTATCATAGAGCTTGGTTGTTAGATTACCATTAACGTCTTTTTCAAGTAAAATTTCCAAATATGAAACAGATGTGTCAGACTCTGTGTTATCTTTTATCTCAAGCTCACTAGGATATGTCGTATCGACATAAGAATGAAAATTACCATTGTTAATTGACAGTACGTCGTCAATATATCTAAATGTCGAATTGAAGGCCACAGCAAGTGTTTTCTTCTTTTCAGGCACAGGATTTTGCACAAATTCTGCTTCCTATGAATACAAAAATATGTCTGCTAATAACGGGGCGCAATTGGTACCCATAGGATTTCCAATAGATTGTTGGAAGACCTGGTCTCCAAAACGACATAGATCTTGTCAATCAGAAACTCAAGCATCTTTTTGGTGTTAACTTCAGAGTACTTGTGTGTACAATCAGAATGATTTTTAACAAAATAATTTTGCAAATGACCAATGACAAGGTAAGTAAATTTACTAGTTAGAGCATTCGCAACCTCTGTTTGGGATATAGCGGTTTCCGGACGTCTAATGGCATTGTTGTGGTCAGTTTCATTTATAGACGCGGCATGCTATTGCTGGTAACTGTGAAAGTTTGCTAAGTGATGAAAAAGTAAAAACCCCTGGTTTTAAATGAGTTTAACCTCTGGCTGCATAAAGCACATTTCCAATCTCGCGGGACACATGCATCTTGTGCAAAACGAAGTGACCGAAATTCAGGATATATGGCAATTTGTGTCAGACCATAGACGATCATCTTAATGTCCGACGTGGTTCCCTTTCTATGAAGAAAATTACATCTTATACTGGTGAAAATTTCCTCCTAATTTTTCAAAACTAAGAGAAACATATAAATTTTCCAACTATTCGTTTCTTTTCTTTTCTTTCTTTCTTTTCTTTTTTTTTTTTTTTTTTTTTTTTTTTTTTGAGCATACGTTTCCACGACGTTTCAAGCTGAAATTTTCACGTTGCATTTCTTACACATTGACTGTTGCTTTCAAACTTTTTGTTGAAAATAAAAACAAAACTCTACAGTGCATAGATTTCAATAATCTAAAACATTATACTTCAACGTGTTCAAATTCTTTTTCATCATACAAGTTAAGCCCTGCTGATCAAGCCATTATTGGCTACACGGTCAGTGGAACGTCTGCTCCAGAGCCGCAGAATAAGAGGTTGGTCTTTACGTCGTGGGTTTAATTGATTGATTGATTGTTGTTTAACGTCCCTCTCGAGAATTTTTCACTCATATGAAGACGCAAGCACTTTGTCGGTGGACAGCTGCAAATTAATCATGTCCTATGCTCGGCAATCAAGGCCATTGAGTAGGGAGGTATCTTTTTCATGCCAGCACCTCCTGCGACACAGGACCTCGGTTTATACGGTCTCATCCGAAGGAGTATCCGTTTCTTTAATATCCGCAACTCCTCTTTTACCACTGAATAAAATTCAGTGATACATTGACAGATTCTTTGTTACATAATGGAGCATTAATAATAAAATTGTACCCTACTAACTAATACATTGTACTCCTGCTCCAACAGTGGAAATCAGAGAGCGTTTGATGATGAATATGGCAAATATAATTATACTGATGAATTTCCAACTACTATGGTAGGTAATGAACATTTGTTAAATAATTACTTATATGTTATTATATAATTCAAGAATCCGACCAAATATGCCCCCCCCCCCCCAAAAAAAAAGACATGACCCAATGCTTATGGGAAAAGTGAAAAAAAAAAAAATAGAGGTACAATGAGTAGTGAGCTCACTAAATGATACCTCCGCCTCCCATAAGATGGTAATGGCAAAATCCATGTTTTGGTCTAGTAGACCCGAAATAAGTGTCAGATCTAAATGTGAAATAGGAAGTGCACAAGGCATTATTGAAGTATTTAAAATTTCTCTTTTCAATGTAAACTGCAGGCTAGCTTAATGTTCAAAGCTGTATATAACATAAGTTGCATGCTCAACTAAATAATAATAATAGGCCTAATCAAAAATCCGTTAGAATCGTTCAAGATCGTTTGCAAGAAAAAAGATAGTTTTCCCATTTTTTTTTTTATCATTATTATTATTTCTTAGAAATTTTGGTTTTATATAATTATGGCTCGTGATGAGATGTAACGAGTGTTTGGCCCATAAATCTACATGATCTATGGCATGATATACCCCATTAAGTCTGATAAACACAAACAAAAATCTGATGCATGGATTGATATATATTTTTTGACTGATTTTGATTTGAAATCACATAAATAATAAATCCCTGAAATATTAAAAAAAATCGTATAGGTTTTCCTTGGTGCTTAGATATGAGACTTTGTTTTGCTTTCTATATAATTCCATACAAAATTTTGCACAATTTTTTAAAAACAAAATTTTATAAAATTCTCCCACTAGTGACTATACTTGGTGAAAATCATACAGGTTACCAATTTAAATGTAGATCTAAATCTATGAAAAATGTTGCTGATTTCTGAAAAAAAGTTCGTTTGTGTTATTTATTCTTAAGGATATTTTTTAATTTTTGTAAACAACCTTTTTTTTCAATGATTCGCAGCTACTTCGAGATTTCGCTATTTTTCTCAGATTATTCACTGCGCATCAAACATGCAGACCTGTGAATTTCTTTCCATGGTAAGTTCCTTAAAAATCAATAATGTCCATTTGAATGACCTTGATTCATTTGAGCACAAACACGAACTCTAAAATTAAATAATATTTTCACAGTTGGAATTTGAAAGATAATTAACCTTTTTTAAAGTTGAATAAAAAATCACAGAGTCGGTAGCGAAAAGTACAAATCGGTTGGGTGAGTAAAATTTTAATGTTATTTAAATAATTAAATTATTGTCAATAAATTTCCTTTTACATCGTAAGTACGTAATTTTAACGATTTAATTTAAGATTTTGAAAAAATTAATTACTTGTGAAAGGGACTTGGTTGAATGTTCATTTGTTTCCTACTCAAAGAATCACGTGATATGTGCAACCCAATCGCTTATGACGTGTTGTTTATCTGTAAACAAATTGTTTGTTTGCTCCTTGCTACAATAAAGGTGAACCCCATATTTAATAGATGCCATCTTAGAAGATGGAATGATCGCAGCAGGGACAAAGAAAGTGAGAACTGTTTGAGTTGCAAGGTAATAGCTCTAGACCACATTTATTCATCTTATCTAAGGATTTTAAATATCCGTTTTACCAAGAATTTGGTATTTTAACAAAGCTGTCGAAGAAAGTTTGTGTATCGGATTAGTTTATCCATAACGGAAGTTGGTCCGTTTACAACATTTGTGTGCGTAAGATCATTCATGTTTTACCGGCAGAATTTGAACGCAATATACACGTGGTATGTATGTTTTTGTGCGTATTCCTAACTTGTTTAAGTATAAAATCTTCAACCCAGGGTGTATAATGGTTTATTAAAAGGGAAACAATGGTCGGATGTGCATATTTTTGCACGTGAGGTTAATCGGCATTTTCGCATAGTATCGTGTATTTCCTAGTTCTATTACCCATCAATTTTACATAATAGAGCCTTTCCTTACTGCTTTCAGTTAAAATAAGCGATTTTGTAAAATTTTATGGACATGCATTATGAGACCACAGTCGAAGGATAATTACAACAAAATGGCTTCCACTATCAATTGCAATTTATTTACACGGATTATGACATTGACAAAAGTCTTGATAAAATTTGGAATATCGATCTGTTATCAACTGATTGATCGATGTATGTAAAGAATTATTAGGTTTATTGTTTTATTATTTAAAGATTTTGACCGTATTTTATATTATCATTATGACTTCCTTGAGTGACTATGGAAACTTTTTTTTCGGGTGATGCATGTAGGTCAACAAGCGTCTGGCAAAAGACTGACAACTGTCGGTCACGAGCCTCGTTTTGGATTCTTTGTTTAATTTGCATATCTCAATAAACAAAGAATTTTTTCAGTATGATTTATTTTTAAAAAAGGAGATAATTATAGTGCTGATTTAATAATTTGATAACTTTTAGGTCCCTAATTATTATGAGAAGGAATGTCAAGGACAAAAGTGGTATATATGGATCCACTGAAATTATTTTAAATTTATCAATTTCATATTATTATTTATACAAAAAAATGTCAATTTTAATGGTAAAAAATACTTAACTTGAATCTTTAAAAATTTTCTGTGAATGAAAGAGCTGAAGCATTGATTTTCTGTTCATTGCAGCTCACTTAAAATTTATTTTGTATCTTACAATGTAAGTTATGTAACCCTTATGACTATAATGATAAATATTTACTTGTTTATTGTAAAAGTAATTTTGTAGAATTAGAGGGAAAATCAATATAGCAATTACCATTAGAGAGTGCTATTGTCATTTGTTAAGACATAATGACTTCTGACTTAAAATTATGACAAAATGCTTCACGTTTCTTTACAGAAAAATGGATCCAAAGGATACTACGGCTGAGAAAGATGACATTAAAGATGAATCAGAGGTTTCTCGTAGTCGTAGTGACCAAACATCAGAGGATCAAGTAACAGAGGAAACGCTGGACACAGAAACAGAAACAGAGTAGGTTCTAGTAGGAGTGAAACGGTTCACCGCGGTACACAGAATACAGAAAAATCTCTACTTTCGGTTTGGTTCGTTTTTGGGTCCAAGGTATAAACATGCTTTTCTGTATAATATATTAGGGTGTGGACATCCTAAAATAATTTTTAACAGTCAAATGTAAAATTGATACATTCATCCATTTTGCACATAAATTATTTTAGTAATTAAGTAAAAGGTAGCTTTAAACAACATTGAATCTGTTTCCTTCTATCAAAATGTATTGAAAAGAAAATAAATAAAATTATATGTTTAGTAAATGTGGAATTTGAATAGGCATTTTATATTTATTTAAAATTTTATTATATGTAAAGTAAATGTGAAATTTTTTAATACTGTTTTATTTTTAAATGAAATTGGAATAGTTTTTGAAATTGTTATATACTAGGCCATCTTAAAATAATGTTTTTGTGCCTCTCTCGACTTAAGGTAAAAAAAAAAATTGGATGGTAGATTCAGTGTCTTCCCTTTATTTCAAAGTAAAAGGTTCGAGATCAGTTGTAACAGGCCTGATGAAAATCTTGACATTTTTGTTTTCATATTTTTGTTGCTGACCAGTTGGATAAAAAGAATCACATTTGTTGTGGTTTTTAAAAAGTTTCAACTTAAAGAAGGCAAAAAACATTTTATTGAAGAAAGGTTGTACAAATTATGTTGTTGTTTTTTAAAGTAGAGTTTATAAAAAATATGTAAATTTACAGATCTAGTCAGAGTGAGATAGGGAAGAGGAAAAGAACAGAAGAAGATGACAGTCCACCAGAGAAAAGGTTTGTATGAAGTTATGTCTGTGATTTTTGTGCTATACATTTCCAGTCTAAATTTAAGTCATGGTATGTTTTCTCTCAATGGAGATGTCAATCAGGTAGAAAATCACTTTTTGATTTGTATTACAAATAAGCAGGAATTAATCTAGTGTGATCTTTATTGTAGAAGTAAATCAGATGAAGAGGAGGATGTGAACAACGCAGAAAGTCAATCAGACGAAGACAGTAATGTAAAGGAAACGGAGGAAAATATGGAAGATGATTCCGAACAGAAAACTAACTCTGAGGACAAGACACAGGATGGTGAAGATACCGAGGAAAAGGTGCCCACCGAAAACACAGAAGGTCTGGAGGAAACGGAAAATACTGATAGTAGTGGGGAGAGGAAAGAAACTTCTGAAGGTGTGAAAGCTGAAAGTACTGATCCAGGGGAAAAGGATTTAAGTGATTCTGAAGACATTCAGTCAAATAAAGAAAATGAAGACAAGTCAGAAAAGATGGAAGAAGAGGATGACGATGGGAAACCTTCAGAAAAGGAAGAGAATATACAAGATATCAGTGAGAAATATGGTGAAAATGACAGTGTGAAGTCTTTAGAAAGTGAAAGTTTAAAATCATCAAAAGATAGCATTGATGAAAAAGGATCTGAGGGGTTAGAGGAGTCTTTCTCAGTAAAATCAGAGGATAGTGAGAAAGAGAATAGAAGGACAGATGTTGAGACACCTATAGATCTATCAACAAAGGCAGGAATTCCTAACGGGAATGGCGGAATGGATGTCATAATGCTGTCAGACTCAGAAGAGGAATTAATGAATGGTGTCTTAAATGGAAATGTTACAGATCTTGATGAATGCGAAATACGTAGAAGACGAAAAATGGTAAAGCGCTTGCAGGCAGAACTAAGGAACGAAGAAGCCAAGTTGATATTACTGAGGAAGATGCGCCAAAGTCAGGTTTCTTCTTCTTCTTCATCTGTTCAGGAGAAGCCCAAACAGCAGCATGCCCAACCTCCTCCTTTAGTGAGACCGGGACAACAGGCTGGTCAGGCACGTCCTGCCCACAGTCAACCTCCACAGCTCATGCGCAGTAACAATCAGGGTCCCTCTAACAGGAGCCACCAACAGGGTCCACCACCACTGGTGAACATGAGGGGACAAAATATTCCCAATGGAAACAGTCTCTCCCAGCAGATGCGATACCAAGGATTGACTGGTCAGTCCAGCTCACGCACTATGTATGGATCAAGTTCACAGGGCAACCAGAATAGTAATGCTCAAGTGGATACTCAGACACCCGCACAACGACAAGCTGCTGCCAAAATGGCTCTTAGGAAGCAATTAGAGAAAACATTGTTGCAGATCCCACCTCCCAAACCCCCACCACCAGAGATGAACTTTGTACCCAGTCTGTCAAATAATGACTTTATATACCTGCTTGGATTAGAGGAAGCAGTGAATTACATAATTGATGCTAATCTGATATCTAAAGGACAGAAAAATCCAGACGAGAAGATGGTGTGTAATCCCTTCACATGTGTCCAGTGTGGCACCGATTTCACGCCTGTCTGGAAGCGGGAGAAGGCGGGATCTAAGAATGTGATCTGTGAACATTGTGTAACAACTAATCAGAAGAAGGCTCTGAAACAGGAACACACAAATCGTCTTAAGAGTGCTTTTGTTAAAGCTCTCCAACAAGAGCAGGAGATCGAGAGAATGCAAGCTCAGGAAAAAAGCTCGGGATCTTCCCACAGTTCCCCATCTCCAGCTAATAACTCCTCCTCCTCTTCTTCTAATGGTGGCTCGATGAATCTTCCGACCAGTTCAGCCTCATATAAGGCGACAACGGAGGCTATTAGACATCATCAGAACTTCTTACAAGCCCACCAGGCTGTCACTGCACACCAAGCAGCTCTACGTATGGGACAGCCATTAGGACTAGCTCCCTTTGGGGCCCCTGGACCTTTTCCCTACCAGATACCCTTTGGAGGGGCAAAAGCCAGTGATCTTAACTCTCTACAAAGGAAATACTTGTTAGATATGATTCCTCCAAATAGATGGAGCAAATGAACACAGAGTGAATTAAGGATTATGAAGTAGGGATTGGATTATTTAGTGATCTGCAGTGTATTTAAAAAGAGTAATTGATGATCTCATCATGTGTTAGTTTATATATTTGTTGCCTGGATTCATGTTTCACTGACAGGATTAAAGACTTCAAGCTCTGTGTAAATGGACAAATTGTTATTTGTAGTGCTACATGGCAGGGTAGATAAGATTTCATATATTCATTTAGTTGTATTGTTTCATTTTTTTGTGCATGTTGCCAATATGTTTTTCTCTCCTTTTCTGAATTTTGCAAAATTGGAAGGAAATAGGTTTTTAAATTAAAAATTTATAAATAATAGAGTCTAAGACAAAATCACACTTGGTTACCAAGATAATGATCCAATTCAAGTCAAATCATTTAACTGGGATTTTTCTTTTCATGCATTATGCCGTATACATGCATATACATTTAAACAAAAATGAAATTCAAGGTTTGTAAAGGCTCTGTGTAGTTTGTATTGATTGAAAATTTAAACTTTTGGAAATTTTGTTATTTGATTTTTTTTATGGTATAACTGAACTCTATTGGAAAGTTCTTTGTTTGTATAAATATTAAGTTTAAGCCCTGTCAAAGAGATATAAATGATACATGCTAATACATTATCTTGTCTCATGAAGCAGCATTTCACAGTGAATGTGTGTGAGGTATGATTGTTAATTGTGTGACTTACACTGCCACAGCATTGAGAGTTATTTCTATATTTTATAGCACAAGTAATACATGTACTGCAGAGTAGCATGTTAGCACCTAGTATTGAAATCTAGTGCCAAATAGTGCTACAGAGTTTGGACTGGTTTAAATATTTCCTCTGGTAAGGAAATTATGTCTAGAATTTTTGTATATCTTATTGTATGCTGCATGATTTAAGCTAAATTCAAGGCAAGTCTCTTGTATCAGTTGTTACATATGTTGATGGATATGTGTGTGTATATATATATGTGTAATTTTGACATTACTGTTGTGTGTAATACAGTGGAGAGAGCAGGTGTGAGGTGTGCAGCACATGAGTCAGGTGTAAACTTTAGAGACTGGTGTATACAGGTTAGGCCAAGACAATGCCAAATCGTATGACAAGATGTATTTATTATTTATTTGTTGTATGATACGTAGAATGATTTTGGTAGCAATAAAAGGGTCACTTTATTTTGTGGACAGAAGCATTGAGATTATGGGGGGGGGGGAAGTATATCCAACTTCTGAATATACAGTCATATGCACAGAAATCAGAATACATGTAGTTCATTTGTACCTGGCAATGAAAATGTATTTATTTTGTGGTTTTCAGATTATTTGAGTGTTTAAACATTTTCTATTCAATCTATCTATTGTCTGAGAACAATGTTTTATTAAAGGCGTTGCTCATCAATGTCTACACAGTTTGTAGTGTATTTCTTTTTTTATTATGTTGAAGTTTACAAGTTATTTATTTGACATGAAACAGATCATCTTCATTTCATTTACTTAGTTTCTCAGTATCTTTTCATATGAGCATCAGAAATTCTGTCGTATGTAAATCTATGAAGTGACATCTTTAGAAAAACTGTGTTTTAATAAACAATAGTGAACATTACCCAAAGAAAAGGTGTTATTTTTTAACATATGAACTCAACTGGTTGCTCGTGTGGTAAAGTGGTTAGAGTGTCTACTGTAGAGTTTGTAAAGTAAGGAGTTGATCCTTACATCAGGGGTTAGAATCCCACTGTGCCTTACTGTGGGATGTGTAGAATGATCCTTTGAATGAGACCGTACAAACGGAAGTCCCGAGTTCCTGGAGGTGCTGGCACAAAAAAGCTCCTCGCTGCTCAATGGCCCTAAGTACCGAGTATAGGACATAATTTGAAGCTCTCCATGGGCAAGTTATGGTGTCTCCATATGAGTGAAAAGTTCTTGAAAGGACGTTGAATATCAAAGAACCCTAAGTACTTATTAGCCCTTGGCAGCACAATCAAACTCCACTCTGAAAACGATACCAAAAACATTCTTTTTTAGGATCTAAAAAATCCAGTGAAATTATCTGTTAATTTTTGGTTAATCCTCATTTGTAGAAACAAATATTGATAGTGGTCAACTGCGACGAACTGTGCCACTTGATCTACAGAAAGAGCAGCACATTGCTCATTATTTCTTTATTTATTTATGCAAAGATTGTGTCCTGGATGTCTTTGAATCAAGATTTTCAAAGAACCTAATATGAACTTAAGACACAAACTTGGGATCCAACTTTGGTTATGATTTTCATAAATTTGGTAGGGGCAAAATTACTGTTATTAATCATTGATACAGTTTTCCTGTTCAAAAGTAAAGATGTGTGAAAGTATTACACACCATGTAACAAATTATGGATTTTGACATAAACTTCTAGTTTATATCCCTCTTTTCCACAGCTTTGCTATATTCCAAAGCTACTGAGAGTGATTAAAACTGACCAGTCACCCAGAGAAACTGAAAATGAACAGATAATGAGAAATCCATTGGCCACAATGCTCAACTGAGTAACTGGCCTTGCTGTTCTTCACCAGATTTACCCCTTGTAATACTACCCTACCCCTGGGGGTCATGATTAGAACCAATGGCAACTTCTCAGGCCTTTTCCCCTTGTGGAAAAACAACCTAAAATGTATTACAAATGTACATTATAGACACAATAACCCTCCTTCTCGCAAACTTTAAAGTAAATGGGAAAGACCTCTTATCTGTGGAGTATGGAGTTTAACTGGCCCAGTGATTTTTGGGAAGATTTGTCCTGTATATTTCAATGTTAAACTTTGATTTTCTGTCTTGGCCCCAACCTACCCATAGGTCATGAAGAAAACAATTTTAAATTAACACTACCTCAGAAGGCTTCCATTCAAGTTCAGCTTTCCTGCCCAGTGGATCTTGAAAATAGTCTCTACTAACCCTACCTTATTTTCTTCTCGGTCTTGATTATCTCCCTTATCAGAGGAATTGACCCTTTCTTTTACATTTTACACTCCCCATAACCCAAGGAGGCTTCACAAGAACTTTTGTTAAAATTGGCCAAGTTTTTCTTTAGAAAAAGTCAAAATTGTGAAAAGTTTATACAGTAAAAAACTCGGTTATAGCGAAGTGCTGGGGACCTGTTATTTTAATTCGCTATATCTGTAATTCGTTATATCCGTATAACGAATTCGTATAACCATATATAGCGAATTCGCAATATGCAAGTTTTCCATAAAGTATTACTAACAAATATGTTAGAGAAGCAAATTTTACAAAACCTACCTTTGATACCTAAGATTTTACAATGAATTGAATTTTATTTACAAATGCTAAAAGAAAATAAAGTCAGTTCAATTAATAAACACATTTTAAGATCTTAGAAAGTTCGTTATAAAAGATGTAAATCTCATTATATTTTACCTCAACGGGACTCAAAATCAGTTCGCTATATCCGTAAATTCGTTATATCAGAGTTCGTTATAACCGTAAAATTTTACAAAGATTTGTTAAGAATCTAACCGGGACCTAGAAAAACTTCGCTATATCCGTGAATTCACTATATCCGTGTTCGTACTAAATGATTTTTACTGTAGTTGAATGGAAGGACAACAGCTCACTTGAACTTTCTGCTCAGTTGAGCTTAGAAGCAATGGCCTGAAGAAATACCAGAATGTCCTATTGTTACTTATCGAATAACAAATCGATCATACATGTAAGGTTTTTAAAAGCTTACTTGCTCATACATATACATGTGACAATGTGCAGACTCAGTTTTAAAATTTAGGCCTTATTAATTGTAAGCTCCAAAGCATAGAAAATATTGAGGACAATAAAGTTAAAAATACAACAACAAAAAACAACAATCCCTGTTTATTAATAATTTATTTCAATATATACATATATGTATATAAAACATTTTGTTCATGGGCAAGAACAGAACACAAGTTCAATGATTGTAAATAATCAACAGGATTAAATCTTAAAAGACCCGAGGGAATGACCAGGTTAACAAGTGGAGAAACTAACAGTGATCCAGAGGAACCACATACCTAAGTACATAATATATTAACAGAGGCCTTAACAAAAGGTGACAATTACATTAGTGTTGATATACCACTGCACATTTATATACTGTAGATGAAAACACTAAAAAGATTTATATTTCTAATTAAATATGTAAAGTTGACTGAGAGATGGATTCCATTAAATCTCCCAACTTCACTGGAGAATTTGATGATGACAATTGCATTGTGAGATGTATTTAAATACATGTACAGTGTAATAATGTTAACAACTTTTAATTTAAACAGCATTACAAATCTACGAAAGTAATAAAAAAAAGTTACGGACCTAAGAGATGTAAAAAGCCTTACAAAATCTACCAAAATAACAAAAGTTATGGACCTAAGTAAAAGTTGACTTACATGTACACTTAATACAAATATTACACATAAATAACAAATCGCTTTCATACAGTATCAAGTAAATCATTTTTTTAACCATGTATATTAAGTTTATTGAAAGAAACTTGAAGGGAAATCACAACGCCTGTATGTTTAAAAATGAAATACATGTACATGTATTACTATATGTAAAATTAAACTTTACTTGTTTATACACTGTATCATATTTTACCGGCAACTAAAACTTAATAATAATTACATAGACAGTACTACAAATAAAAAAAAAATTACATATATTTTGAGCAAATGCATTTATTATTTTGAAGAATTGTCCAGCAATGTTATAATATCATTAGCTTGTGAAGTGAAAACATAGCATAAACAGAAATTTTCTATGAGGATTGTAAATGATTACATTAAAACTTTTACAACTAAAAACAGCAGGATGTATAAAAATTAGAGTGCATAACTAAGACAATGTTTTTCATGTTTGGACGACACATTTTGATACAATAATAGAGAGTTCCAAATGACCATTCCCATACACCTAATCTATAGAGCACAAAAGCAGTACATGTATCTTTGTATACTAAGCTATCTTATAGCTAGCACTAACATTTTCAATGCAGACATGTAATGTAGGCATTATCCAATGAAAATTGAACATAACTTTTTTCAGCACTAAAATCTGTGATTGTACGCATTCTTGTACACATCACCTAGTGATCAATGTAAGTTTTATAGCCTAAAAACAATACAATAGATTAGAAGGGATTTACAGAAGCGAAAAGAAATGGAAAATATGTTGCAATGAATACTTTACAAATAATGAATAATGAAAGATTTGCACTAAACATTGTCAGACCTATATTATATTATCTTTCTGGTACTTGTTTTGAATTCCCATATTTACTGCCTCTACACTTTTTTGTTTACTAAAGAACAGTTTATTGATTAAAAAATACCATAAACAAAATCAAACTAAAAATTTTTGCCAAGAAAATATCCATCCCCTCGAACATAAAAAAGCATGCTTAACTGCAAATTTCTGTGGTTGTCAAATTTTTGGGGAAAAAATTAGTCCATGGTGTTATATACACATGTATAAATCACTGGATATTTCAATGCCACCATCACCACATCACAAATCCAGTAGTACATGTATTTGTCCTTTCTTAGAAAATCATTTTCCTAATGCACAAAATATCAAATTAAAAAGTAAAGAAAAACACATACATGTATATGTCTCTTATGAAAACTGGTTAAAAAAATTTTAAAGTACAATTTCCAAACGATGTTCAGCCATTAAGCACCACAATGTGAGCATAACCTTAACACTACTATTAAATAATAATATCCATTTCAAGCATTACAGTCTGTAACACAAAGTAGTTCAGTTAAGTACTGTTAACCGTCCACTGATATGAATATATCGTACATAAATTGATATCTGTAGCTCTTTTACAAACCTCTTACAGGTAAATGGTCTGTAACTGGAGCACTTTTCCATAGGAAAGTAGAAAAAGAAAATGAATTGCACAAGTCTGATCACAGTCAGAATAAAGAGTCTATAAGATCTAGGCCTGTGTCTCTGACCTACACACATCAGAGCCAAGTTAATGCCCTCCAAAGTTACTTTGACTATTCAGCTTGCATGCTGATTAAAATATTGTCACTGTGACACTGTTGAATGCAGAGTGAATTTAATCCACACCCTCAAATCCCTGTGTATTCTCTACGGCAATCAAAAGTTTCTTTCTCAAGTCATGGTAGTCTGTATAAGGTGGGAGGTCCAAGCGATTGAAACTGGAGAAAAATTATTAAAATTATCTCAACACAGATTATGATTTTGTTGAAAAATAAATTTTTACAGCAGAGAAAGGCATAAGAACTTTTTTCAATGATAGAATTCATTTGGTTATAAAATAAAATCTGAAAATGCTAAAACTACATGTAAATGTTATAGATCAACATTTTAGAAGAATTTACCAGGTATGGGCTCTTGGGAACTGATTGGTATTGCCCCATTTCTCTATGGTAAACAGCTGTGGTCCATTGCTTCCATAAAGTGCCCTAAATCCATTCATCGGAACTCGAGATGTCCCCGTCACAAATTGTAGTAGTCGAGCTCTCATTTCATTATTCAGTGAATATACAGCCTACAAAGAAACATGCCAAAACTGAATACCAGAAGAAAGTGGTGTTTTTCCTTTGTCTTTGTTTTAGATGAGAACAGGTAAAACCAGGTAAATGACTTTACCAATAATTTTTATCATCTGACCATAATGTATGATCAAACTGGCTCAAAAATAAATAGTGTCTTCCTATAACAACCTATACCATTTCTTTGGATATGAAGTCATAAAATTAGATTTATTTCACTTGTATCATTTTTTTTTAAATACATATTTTTATGCACTATTTCAGTTGCATGGCATAAACCGGAAGTGAAATTTAAGGAGAGGAACTTGAAAGTTAAAAGAAATTGTTTTCAATTCTCTTAATTTTTTCATTAAAATATGTTCATATCAAAATTAGATATAAAAATATCATCTATACCTTCCAGAAGTTGATGATGACTGGGTGATTAGGATTATATTCGCCTTTGTAGGCGGTGTGTTCCTTCCAATCATTGACGTCAATATCCTGCAGGCCACACATTAATAACTGAAAAATAGCCAGGCATTCTATTATAAATAATATACAGAATTCATATGCATATGGTTTCAGACTCTGAAATTCAGAGATGATCGTTCAACCTTTTTAAGAGAACACATACAGGCATCCCTTTTTAACTTGTACTTAATGCGAATTTTAACAAGAGGCCACAGTATATATGATTTCAGGCGTTCATCATTTGAACAAATTAGAATGAAATTCATATATATCACTATTCATAGCTTTGAAGTACTTGAAAAGAAGATTTTAAAAGGCTTCCCTATATATCCCTAAAAACCTTGTTAAGAGAACACACTACCTGAGGCATCCCTTTTTAGAAGAAGATTTTTAAAGATTTTTCTATATATTCAACTTAATGTGACTTTAAAATTTGAGAGATTATGGAGAAGAAGATTTTTAAAGATTTTTCCTATATATTCCTATGTAAAACTTGTTTGGAACATTGAGGGTAAAATTTTTTTAAAAATGCCATTAATTTTTAACAAATTCATGTGAAAAGGGCGTTCCAAATAACTTCAACATTCCTTTGAGATATTTGAGTTTGAGATACCTGTATCAAAGTTACACTTAATTTTAGTTCATTTTGTATCTTATCAGTAACTAAAATGTACTGTAAATAAAATGTACTGTAAATAGTAAATGTATATATAGTAAACAGATATGTGGTAAATTTTAAAAATCGTAGTTCAAAGAAAATTATATATACTTACCTCCAACTCATTTTCGTCAAATATTTTGATCATTTCTAGTGGCACCAAACAGGCAAACCCTTTCATGAATGCTCTCATCTGAGCTTCAATTCTGGACATAAAGCGCCATTGGATGACTAGACTGTAAAGATATAACATAAAGATGATTTAGTATATATAAAATACCACAAAGTATTCATTTTGCATTTAGACAGATTAGACTTTGCAATTTCACAAAGTATTCTTTCTGATTATGGATTTTTTTATGGATGGTGGATTTTGCCCTTACTTGATGTATTCATTTTTGTTTTCTTCTGTGACAATAATGTTTGATCCTCCTGGCTTAAGATCTCTAGAGGTGATCTGAAAAAATAATAAAATCTTCATTGTATTGTTAATAACCAATAACACCAAACAAAAAAATTTTTAAAAAATGAACATTTTACAAATTTCTAATAAGGAAAAATGCATTGGTAGAGTCCAATTAAATTGGATTGGATTTGTATGTCTGTACATGATACATGCGATATACATGGTAATATCGATTCCACAGTGTTCTAATTCAGATAATCATTAATTACAGAAGTCTATAAATATGTACCTCCCCAAAGTAGTCCTCTTCTACAGAGAATGTCAGATCCAGATCTACGGGATCGTTCTCCATTATCCACACCAGGGAGTTGTAGTACTCCGAGTCCTGTGGTTATATTTAAACACATCATATATAATACAGAGTAAAACATTATCAAATATCAAAGAAACAGTTAACATTGTGCAAAAGTTCCTATTCAAGGATCAAAGAAACTAATTTTGTGCAATTATTGCCAATAAAATACCAGTGGTTGTACAGATATGAGTTCTAAATACTGAAGAATTAATTTTCTATGTTTAATACATTTCCAAATAGAGGAATTTAACAAATATCACAATTCTTTAATATAAACCCCTTTTCTCTTTATAGATCTACATCTTACCACAGGCTCCATGTCAGCTAAAGCTATTTGCTTCTCCAACATCATCTTATAGAATGGACGAATAAAAAATCCTGAAATAATTTATAAAAAAATTACATTAAAATGGTATTTTTTACTACAAATAAATTTGATTTCACAAATAGATGTATTACATAGACTAGTCTACTGTCTATAAACTGGGAAAACTTGGCAAGAGAGATACTGTTTCACTACATAAACAATAGCAGCCTGTGCTTAGTCCTTACCATCTAACAGCTTGCCATGGAACACGGCCATGCCTGCCACTCGACCAATGAATTCAAAGTAGGACAAATGATCATCATTGGCCAATCCAGACAAAGGATTAATCTGAAGAGTGTAGTTATCCCTGAAATCAACAAAGGAATAGATAAAATTAGAAAACCCGTCCCTTTTTGGCTGTATTTCTGAGTTTTACATAGTTTTAGTTGTTGTTTACTTCTAATTTAATTAATTTACAAATTATGCTTAAAAAAATATAAAATATCTATTTAATAATAAGTGAAAAGAATAAACAATTTTAACATTTTACTAAAACTATAAACTTAGTTTGAAATCTTTATTGTTGTGTGTGATGTTTTTGAAGAATAAACATTGTGCTAAAAGAGTTGCATATCCTGTTTATTTCGTCACTGGTTATGGAAAAAATTGAGTGAAAAAAAAATCTGGAAGTAAAATATATTTAGTAACTGTAATAAACATAAAATGAAGCACTGAAACTTTGAATATTACTTATTAAACTGACACTTACGTGGCAGAATATTCAAAGAGGCCATAGTAAGGGTTGAACATTTTCTATGTTACTTGCATGAAAAACCACTCTCTATATTATAATCCAGCCCCACCTCCCCAAAACTGTATTTGATAATTTTGAAAGTGAAACATTGTCTATTTTTAAACCAAGGCATATAATGTTCAAATCTAAAACCGAAACATTAACAATTTCAAGTTAAACAATTCAATAAAACCTTCATATTATTCACAAAAAGTTAGGTTAACTTAAAAATACAAATCAGAAAAAGTCACATTATATAATATCTGCCTCAAATTATTCTACGTGTATATACATGTATACACAAAAAGTGTCACCTTAGTAGCACTTGTGTGCCATCCAAAACTATAGGAAATTTTCATTCTGTCTAAATTATTTGAAATTAAATATTTTTAATGAAATCATTGTTTGACATTAAAATCCTCCCCAAAGGATTAAAATATTTATTTTAATTCATTATACATTTCTCTCCTCCAATTTTCATTTGTTACTGCTAGTAAAATACCGATACACACAATTCTTTTTTGTCTAACTTTTTTCTATTCTTATAACCACGGGTGATCAAAAAGTTTACAAAATCAAAAACCTTCCATACAAAAACAATATTTGGTTTTAATTGTGTGCCATTATATTTTAAATTAATCCAAAACTGTTTTAATGCATTTTGAACCAGAATTTCACATGCGCATTTCACGTTTTACTAACCACGGCAACACCATTCACAAAAGTTAAAAGATTTTCACAGAATTATATTTCTTTGCATGTGAGTTAATTGTTATGCCAAGAACAGTTATATTGAAATGGTCAAAACTGTAACAGAATGGAGTAGCATTTTGAAAAATTGTTTAAAAAATAAGCATGGCGACCATTAAAACACAAATCTTTTGTCTCAGGAGAGACCTTTATTCAAGGTGGAAAAAAAATCTTGAAGTAAAATATATATCTAATATGTTTAAAATACAATGGTAAACTGAAACTTAGGTATTTTTATTATATCATTGTTCAAATATTCAAGGCTATTTTTCAAAGTGCTAATTTCTTTGATAGCAAATTGCTAAACACCCCCATAATCCAGCCCCACCTCCCCATCAAATTCTATCCATAACCTGCAACGTGAAATATTGTCTATAAAACAGTATATCAATGTCCAATCAAACATTAACATTTTCAAGTTAAACAATTCAATAAAACCTTCATATTATTCACAAAAAGTTAGGTTTAAAAATACAAATCAGAAAAAGTCACACTATATACACTGTAATATCTGCCTCAAATTATTCTCTGTGTATATATCAATAAAAACTGATCATTAGTAGCACTTGTACATCTTCAATGTTTCCTGAAATTTTCACAGTCTAAGTCATTTGAAATAAATTTTTTTTAATTAAATTACTGTTTGACATTAAAATCCTCCCCAAAGGATTAAAATATTTATTTTAATTGTGTATGGCTATGTGTGTCCTCCAATTTTCATCTGAATTGTGGTTTTGTAAATGCATACAATTCTTTTTTGTCTAACTTGTTTCAATATAGTACATACCGGTAGTAATTTTCTTTGCCTACCTTGCTTTGAGTACATCGGTTTTCTTAAGAGACATGATGGCTCTATAAGAATCTTCCAGGATGCGCTCCCTTGATACTTTGATATCCACTTTATTGGGAATATTATTCTGTAAGAAAAATATCACTTTTAGTTCAATCATTCTACATGTCTTTACGTTACATTTCATTCCTTTACAACAAAACATTAAGCATTTAAGATCAAATTAATTTGAGATTGCCATTGCTAGGAAGACCTAAATGTATAGCTCTTATTTATTACATTTACACCTTTTCCCTCATGTATAAAGTTTGTATAAAGTTTGAACTGCCATGTATTACAATGTTATGTCCTGAAAACAACTTTCCAATGCCAATTACTGACCTTGACTTTGCTTAAATGACCTTAATTCAGGATCAAGACACATCTTTTAACGGCAAAGCAACCTCTGTGCAAGTGTGAGTTCGTAATGTTCTTCTCATACAAAGTTGTATCAAACTGTGAAATCACTAATTTTTGTGGGGGTTAATTGTCATTGTTCTCAGGGTATGGAGAGGTCCACAAATTCATGTCCACCATGAAATGCAAAATGCCACACTTATAACTAATCAACAGTTCTTGGAAATAAAGAAAAGTTAAATGTTTTTCAAAAGTTGGTCAAACTCTAAGTTCAAGGTCATGAGGTAAAAAACTTGGTATCAAGGGAAAGGTCTTTTGTTCCAAGAAATATATGTGAAATGTGAAAGCCCTACTACCACTCCTTCAAAACTTGTAGGCAATGTTTCAGTTTTTCCAAAGGAAGGTCAAACTAATAGGTCAAAGTATAAGGTCAAAAATGTGAAAACCAAAAGAAAAGTCTTGTCACAACAAATGAATAATGTCAAATATGAAAGCCCTAGCACCAATCATTAAAATGTTGTGCTAAAGGTTAATAAATGAAGTTTTTCAAAAGGAGGTCAAGGTCAAATGGATTCACTTGAAAGTTGAAAAAGGCATGACTCTTCATTTGAACAGACTTCAATCCCCTTCAAACAAGGATACTTTGTGGCAAGTTTTTTTTAAACTTTTTTTTTATTCATTCATGCCACTTTGGGGCAAGTTTGGTTCAATTTGACCAAGTGTTTTTCAAGAAGAAATTGAAAATGTGAAAAGTTTCAAGACATACAGATGTGCAGCTATACAGACAGATAGATGCCAAACAAAATGTGAGCAGAAAAGCTCACATGAGCCTTTGGCTTGGGTGAACTACAATACAATAAAAAGAAACCCCATCTTTCTTATTGATACAGCTTTATGTTGATTTAAGTTCTCAAATTGAAATTACTAGTTTGTATGCAACCAAGAAGGATAAAATTGAAGAAAAAATATCAAGGTGTATTTACATGTAATTTTTGTTCCAAAGCATCCTAAACTCATAGTACTGCAAAAATGATTTTCTTTTTTAAGAGAGTAAATACAGTGCTAGGAAATTTTCACACAATTTTTATAAAATACATGATACTTGGGCCTTGGGGAGGGACCTGGCAAGCGATTATTGTTCAATGTGTTTAAAAAATGGCTTTTGTTAGTATTCAAAATGTATGCAAAAATGAAGACTAACTATGCAATATTGAACAATGAATGCCAACAAGTAACAGATTAAATAAGACAAAAGTGATGTTAATATTATTACTTAAATTGTAAACAAATATTTGATTATATATTACTTATTATATATCATGATATTTTAATTTTATTATTTTTCTTTTTTTCCTCTTTTAATGAACAAGCAAATTCAGAAAATAACTTGAATGCACACAACTTTGGAATGCTTCCAAATCAGTTTATCATTGTCTTGCTGTTATTCTTATGTAAAATTTATCAGAAATTTTTGTCCTATCCTTTATATTACATGTAGTATTATTTTTTGGTGCATTGGTTCTTGAGAGGAAGATTTTTATATGACCCCCACTTATTTTTGCATTTTTTAAAATTTTCTCTCCTTAGAAGTGTCCTTTCAAGGAAGTATGGTACTTTATTTGAACAATTTGAATCCCCTTCTAGAGTAAAAGATAAATTTGACAAGTTTTAATGAAGTAGGACATTTGCATTTGGAAGACAAGATGAAGAAATATATAATGACAACAATGATAAGGCTTGTGTCAACAGGCAATTTTTTTTTTTTAAAATCAAAAAGCTCAATTGAGCCTTTGGTCCATTTGAGCTAAAATTTAATTCTTTTTGCAAGCACATCAGTCACATGAATGCATGGATTCGTGTTCCAACATTAATATAAAGCCATATTAAATCAATCACATATTATTCAGTGAAATGTTTAAACAAAACTGATCTTATTTCAGAATAATTGAGTTAGGTCAATGTTATGCCTAGTTAAAAGGATGCATGTTGATGAATGTGCTTTTCAAAAGAAGCAAAAAGATTGCAGCAACAAGACATTAATGTAAGCCTCCACTCACCTGAGGAAAATGAGAGTTCTACCAATTATAACAGGTATAATGTAATGACAAAACGATTAAGTACCGTCCAGAACAGGAACACTCAAATAAATTCCTCGTAATCAGTTACTTTAATTTTTACTTAAAATTTATAACGATATAGATCTATGGATCTGATTTATGGGTCTGACATGTACTTCTATACCCGGAATCTGATGCACAGCTTCAGAAAATGGCCATCAAGGAAAAACACAAAGGTACGTGCTTGTACCACTGGATTTCTATATCTATATTCTAAATAGATATTTTCTCCATTTTCATCAGATAAAAGCAAAAATGTATTCATTAGTGCTTTGATATAGCTGTGAAAAATGGATATGATATTACGAGCCAGTAAACTCATTATGCAGTGTTAACACAAGTTTATTAGAAAGGCTTATGTTCCTGAAATGGCTTAACTGTTTATTATTACCTACTGACTTTATCTAAATCTAAAAATTCCATATACAACTATTGGCTTACTAGTATATTTTAATGAATGATGCTACATCTAAAATTTTAACACAAAGCTTTGCAAAACTAATACTTACAGGTTTTCGTAACTTGGACCTAAAGTAGTCATATTTTCTCTTGTAGTCTCGAGAATATGGCACAGCCTACAATATACATGTACAGAAAATAACTTCAGAAAGTAAATGACACACACAGCACAGGTACAATAACTTTATATCTAAGCTATAAATATCTACCTCTTATTTCACAATGGATAAACATTGACTGATTGTTACTGATGTTACTTATTGTTACAATCACAACAAATAGAGACTTACAGGACCGCCAAGCTGTCGTAACCTCGGATCATCCCACTGTGTTGTTTTGTTATCTAATTAATGATAAAGCATAAGTATCATCTTTACTTCCATAATTATTTACTTCCACAATAATTAAACGTTTTAAAATCTTCCTTATAAATAAAGGTTGATTTGAATATGCTATACAGACAAGGAAATTCAAGATTTATCCTGGTACATTGTAATTTTCATACCTAGGAAAATGTTATCATTTTAGAAACTATGTTTTTGAGAATACAGCTGTATTTAGTTTGACCAGAAATGAATACTTACAAAGAACTACAATCAAATATATCACACATAAATCCATTATGTTTACATGTACACCTAGTTCTACAATCAAATCTAAGCATATTAAAGCAATGACTCTACAAGAAAAAGTATAATTCAACATGTGTGACTTTAAAATTACATACTGTGATTGATATAGAAAACTCGTCCATCCATATGAGTCCTCTCTTCCCAACCAGGCTGTCAAATAAAAATACATAAGTTCATTCTAAATGCAATTCCATACCCTGGTAATATCATTATGCACAGTCTCAATTAATCAATAAAATAGACCAACGAATAAAACTGTACCACTGAATTTCTACAGAGCATATGTCTTCCCTAAAAGACAAACGCCCTTAGATCTGTAGGTAAAGACCTAGATTCTGAGAAACACTTATAGGTAAGAGACCTAGATTCTGAGATACTTACAGGTAGGGGACCTAGATTCTGAGATATACATACAGGTGGATGACCTAGATTCTGAGATATACATACAGGTGGATGACATACAGGTGGATGACCTAGATTCTGAGATATACTTACAGGTGGATGACCTAGATTCTGAGATATACATACAGGTGGATGACCTAGATTCTGAGATATACTTACAGGTGGATGACCTAGATTCTGAGATATATATACAGGTGGATGACCTAGATTCTGAGATATACACAGCTGGATGACCTAGATTCTGAGATATACATACAGGTAGATGACCTAGATTCTGAGATAAACACAGGTGGATGACCTAGATTCTGAGATATTTACAGGCAGTGGACCTAGATTCTGAGATACTTACAGATAGTGGACCTAGATTCTGAGATATTTACAGGTAGTGGACCTAGATTCTGAGATACTTACAGATAGTGGACCTAGATTCTGAGATATTTACAGGTAGTGCACCTAGATTCTGAGATACTTACAGGTAGTGGACCTAGATTCTGAGATATTTACAGGTTGTGGACCTAGATTCTGAGATAAACACAGGTGGATGACCTAGATTCTGAGATACTTACAGGTAGTAGACCTAGATTCTGAGATATTTACAGGTAGGGGACCTAGATTCTGAGATATTTACAAGTAGTGGACCTAGATTCGGAGATACTAACAGGTAGTGGACCTAGATTCTGAGATATTTACAGGTAGGGGACCTAGATTTTGTGATACTTACAGGTAGTGGACCTAGATTCTGTGATACTTACAGACAGTGGACCTAGATTCTGTGATACTTACAGGTAGTGGATCTAAATTCTGAGATACTTACAGGTAGGGGACCTAGATTCTGAGATACTTACAGGTAGTGGACCTAGATTCTGTAGTAGATCCTCATTGGATGAGCTCCTCCTGACTAGGGCAGGCGTTTCAGAAGTACCTCGTACACTAGATCTATGATTCTGGGATTTTCTGGGATCATCCTGCATTAAACAATGATATTGTGTTTACATATCATCATTGATATTCTTAATAGGTATCAGTTTCATATAAATTCTTAAAATCATAAAGGCATTTTAGGATGTGATCACATGAACAAACTATATTTATTTCCAGATAAAACTATAAAAACTAGAACTGTCCAAACCTTAATTGTATTTTTCAAATAAAAACATAGATGTATCAAACATGAATTATGAAATTTTTCTTCCAGTGACCTTGAAGTTCCCCAAATGACCTTGGGTCAAGGTCATGACACACCCTTGGGTCATGGGCAATCTTTGTGTGAAATGAGAACATACCAAGTTTATCCATAACAAAGATATGGACCAGACACGAATTATGAAATTTTTCTTCCAGTGACCTTGAAGTTCCCCAAATGACCTTGGGTCAAGGTCATGACAAACCCTTGGGTCATGGGCAATCTTTGTGTGACCTGCTGTTTATCATGAGCCTGGAAAAGAATTTCAAATTTTTCTTCCAAAAGTTATGACCTTGATAAAATTACACACCCTTGACTCTTTGTGTGAAAAAAAAAGTTTATCCATAAAGTACATTCACAAATGTATAGATAAATAATTTCCATAGAAAGCTGCATGATCAAAATGACTCATAATAATTTTACATGTTATATGCTTTAGCTCTTGTGTCCTTCAAACTTGTACAAAATGTTTTATATATGTAAATGGACATAGTTATGAAATTTTTCTTCCAGTGACCTGACAATGACCTTGGGTCAAGGTCATACACACCCTGTACAATACAACTTGTGTGAAATGAGAACCAAGATCTACAAAATAACACAGATATTTTGAAAAACAGTCAAGTCACACTCTGTTTCAAATACAACTTCAAAGTCATGATTAATCAAACATGGGGGATTTGGACCAGACACGAATTATGAAATTTTTCTTCCAGTGACCTTGAAAAATCATTTGGGTCAAGCATGACAAACCCTTTCATGGGCAATCTTTGTGTGAAGCCTAAAAGTTTTTAAATATACTTACACAAATTTGATTTTTCTTCCAGTGACCTTATTCCCTCAAATTCCTTTAACAATGAAATTCATAACTTTGTTTGAAATCTTTTATTTATGGATGCTATGAAAAATGTCTTGTGACCTTGAACTGACCTTGGGTCAAGGTCATACACACCCTTGCCTCATAAAAGCAGAACACATTCAAAAAGTTAAAAGAGAAGCAATTTTTCTTCCAGATTACTGACCTTGGGTCAACTTATACACACACCCTTGGGTGCCTCAATCTTTGTGTGAAATAAAACCTTTATCCACTTATACAGACAAATTATTACATTTTTGATGAAGCTGACCTAAGGTCATAAGCTTTCATACATTTTTGTGTGAAATACTACTTTATCATGAAAAGCAATTATTTACATGTATTATGAATCAATCATGAAACCCTTGGGTCAGCAATACACAGTCTATATACCTTAATAAAATCATTTTTATGGTAAATTACCTGGAATTGACACACCCTGTCAGAATCTGTGTGAAATGAGAACATTTTATCCATAAGGTTTTATATTTTTAGTGACCTGAAGTTCCATAATGACCTTGGGTCAAGATAACCCTTAGGTAATGTGTGAAATAAGGTGCAATTTATCCATAAGAAAAGATGTGGACCAGACACAAATTATGAAATTTTTCTTGTTTTGAATTATGACCTGAGTTTATTTGTGTGTGGACAGACCTACCAAGTTTATCCATAACAAAGATTGATAAAATATAAATTTTTCTTCCAGGTTAAACAATGACCTTGGGTCTAGACACACCCTTAGAGAGTGTAAGTAGTTGATTGACCCTCCAATGCTGGAAAGTGGAGAAATTAGCCCCCCCCAAACTTCGTTAGTGCACAAAATATACTTAGCATAGTCTTACCCAAGTGGTAACTCTGTTGTTGTGATTGATAAAAAACATTGCATCTTACCCCAGCCAGGGGGGATTTCTGCATTGCTGCATGAGCCTGAAAAAGAAATTCAAATCAAAAGTTATGCTGATAAAATTAAAAACTGGTCATATAAAGACATTCAATATATAAAACCATAAACAGCTGCATTACCAAAATCTGTACAATTTTATATGCTTTAGCTCTATGACTTTCAATACATATGTACAATAAATCATAAAATGTCAAAAATTATACATGAAATATAACTCCTAACAATTTTAACACAGATCATGGAAAACAAAAAATTCAAATACATGCAACTTAACAGTTTTTTTTGTATAGCTCTTTAAATCATACACTCCTTCAAATTATCAAAGCCTAAAAATGTTTGAATATACATGATCATTTTGGTAATGATACACATTCACATGATGTTAATGTAGGAAAATGATTGAAACTGGCTTAAGTATTGCTTAAAAGCCTTCATTCAGAAATCTCAACATGAGACATGCCAATCTAAAACCTTTTAACAAGAAAGTAAGACACAATGCTAGTTATATAACTCTCCATACTGTTATTAAATACATGTAAAGCAATTGTTTATATGGTCATTCATAAAGCAATGTTTTACCTTAAAAAAAATCTTTTTATGACAAGCAAACAGTCATGGTGTTTTTTGTTTTATATTTTTTGTTGCTTTTTTGCAAATATAATTTTTACTACAAATCTTTTTTATTTTGCCCAACAAAAAATTAAAAAATAATTCATGTGTACAGATATTTCAAAGATTGATAAAATGTAAAAATTTTAAACAATATGTCAAAAATAAACTTATGTGCCATTGGCATGTGTGTGTTTTTTTAAAAATAAATTTGCAATTCATTAAAAGTCAATACAGATGTATAAAATTCTTATATTTCTTTAAAAAATGAGAACATTTTATTCAAACAGAAGTGGAAATACATGGTGCTTTCTTCATGCAAAAAGATTTTTTGTTAGCTCTCATCACTCCTAAACTAGACTTAATAAATACATGTATCTTGTAATGATACAATCACATGATGTTAAAGGAAAATATATTTGTAATGTTTAAAGTAATACACAATGCAGATTTTTAAAAGGTCTAATTGTGTTTTATCTTAAACAAACAGTCATGATTTTTGTTCTATTTAAATCTTTCTTGCCACAATTAAAAAATAATTCATCAGATATTTCTGAAAATTATAAACTTATACATTTTTAAAATTTTGGTTTAAAATACAATATCAAATTTTGAATTTCAAAAAATGAGATCATTTTATTCAAACAGAAGTGGAAATATTTTTCTGTGCAAAAAGATTTTTTGTTTTTATGTAAACTCTAATAAATACATGTACCTTGTAAAATCTATGAAAGGAAAATATATTTGTAATGTTTAAAGTAATATGCAGATTTTTAAAAGGTCTAATTGTGCATCTTAAAATTAAATGTCAGTTAAACTACTGAAAATTATTTCATTTTTAAAATTTTGGTTTAAAATTTACAATGTATATCAAATTTTGAACTGCACACAATTATTTTCCCTCCAAATAATTCAATTACTCAAAATTTCATCACTGCACATTCAAATTCAAAGTCAGTCATGGCTACTACACAGATGTTTGTCTACAGAATATGGAAACTATGAAGCATTGTCAGTGATAATGCATACTAGCCTTAGCCAGAAAACAGAGATGCATTAATACAACACACTTTTTTTGGTTGATTGATAAATCATGTTTATACTGAGAGAATAAAAAAAATATTGTCATACCCCCTGTTTTTGCTAGGAATTGATTTTTTTAAATTTTAGCCTATAAACATGATTTATACTGTCTGGAGTGGTTTACATACAACTGCAGACTTACTGTTGGAATGTCTATTGAGGCAGCACGTACATTTGCCGATCGTCGCTGTAAAATTTTATGCAGGAGTGAAATTTTGTCATGAATTATGTTTTGCGAGATATAAATTTTCACTTAGTTATGTCAAATATATGCATATATTTGTTATGTTTTAAAAGGTGTTTTTAATGTTACTGTTTACATAGTCAGTAAAATTTTATTTTAAAAAATTGCCTCACGATAGAAAAATCAAAATGTAGATTAGAATCAACCTTTTATAATCACCCCTTATGAAGAAAAGAAATGTACAAACACAGATTCTCTTTCGGATAAAATAACTAATTCTAAATACAAGAAAAAATTTAAATACACATAATACATTTCAAACCGACTTTGTGAACAAAAGGTTGACTAAATCAGTGTAATTCTGTACCTCTCTGCGTTCCTCCTGCTCCTCCTGATCTCTGACCCCTGTGGCGGTGGTTGGCAGGGCCATCTCACTGTGCATACTGATCGTGTCCTCCACACTGACGTGGCGACGATTACGGAATAACTCGGCCGCCTCCATCCTTCTGTGCTGAGCTTCCTCTGTAGGACTCTCCTGATTTTCACTACAAAATATGCTGATCGTTTATTTTCTGAATAAGCCAATTTATCCCTTTTTATTTTGCACTGTGCAACAAACCTATTTAATAATTTTTTTTCCTATATTATATAATTTATTTTGAAGAAATACTGTGGGTAAATATACAATAATTTGTGAATTCATATTTTTGTCAACATTTTGACTTACTTAACTGCCGATTTATGAACCTAAGGATAGGACTACCTTAAATTGCTTTCTTCTCCAGTTAATGCAAAACAAACTCTTAGCTAATAATCTTAAAGATAGAAATCTTTACTTTATAATCTCCTTTTTAGTTTATACATCATATTAGCTCTTTTTGTGTGTTTTAAAGATTTTCCAAAACAATCATCAATATGCTTCGTTTGCTGGTACCTTGTAGGTCTCTCAAACTGTGTGGCTCGTGTGACACTGTTGACGTAATAAATTCGTCCATTAGAATCCTGTCTCTCCTCCCAGTCTGGTGGCAGTGAGGTACTCCCTGTTCTCTGTCCCCTAAACAAAATACAATGGAGTAGTAGTTATTTTTTTTAAGAATTTCAAAAATAATAATCTATTTTGAGAGCAATTATTATTTTTTGGCAACATTTTTAAAAATCAAAATCAAGTATCTTTGTGTAGTAAATTTGTATATCAAGTTGAATCTGAACAAAACTATTTTGAATTTATCTACTTTTTTTAGCCTTTTTTTTTTTATTACTAATCAGAAATTAGATTTTTTAATGCTAATGTAAGTGATACCTAGGTGGTGGATCCCACTGGGTTTTGCGGGTGTTGTGATTGATATAGTATTTTTTCCCAGTAGGTTGGTGGGTGCGGACCTCCCATCCCGGGGGTAGGGGTTCGTTTTCTTCCTCGTTGGTCGGTCCTGAGGCCCCAGAGGCATCGTTTGTACAGGAGATTGTTTGAAGCTGATCTAAGGCATTGTCTAGTTCCACCATCTCCCACTGTCATAGATAAAAATACAAAATCTCTCATCAAAGTGATTCATTAAACAAAGTTTTATTCCTTCTTAACAGACCCAAAAGAAAGAACAAACGGGATGATAATATAGAGATAGGTGATACTGCTAGGTGATATAACTGATTTATTTCCTATCTAGCTTGTAACACGAGCTTTGATTGGTTACATAGTCGGGTGTAAATATCCGTGCACCCGACTTGAGCCGGGTGTAAATAAAACGTGACGTCACAATGCATAGTTTTTCTATAATACAAAGCAAATCGATATGTTGAGACACACTCTAAAGCATTGTTATTGGTACAAAGGAAATAAATTCGTTATCCAGGTTCACATTAACACCCTGAGGCCAAAGGCCTCAGGGTGTATGGAAAGAGAACCTGGATAACTAATAATATCATATATGTAAAGAGATGACCATATTCCTCAGTATGTCTGAACTACAATATATTCTGACATTAACGTTAAAGAGAAGAACTATTAGTTGGTGGATGTTTAATCATTGAATCATAGAAATTTTACAATAGACTGGGTACAAAAATTTTTCGGATTGCATCCCTAAAATCTAAAGGGAGGGAACTAGAATCTGACTGAGGAGCTACTCACTGATGGTTCTGTAGAGTTCTGTGCCCCTGAATCATCCTGCTGTGTTTCACCCCCTTCTTCAGGGGTCACATACGCGAGGTAAATCATTAAATTCCCTCTAACTCGGGATCGAGAACTACAACATAAATAAAACGACAACAATTATCCATACTGTGCCAATATCAATTCATATTTGCATTTTCTAACTTTATAATCTTGTTTAGTGTAATTTAAAATATTTCATTCAGGAAGAAAACACAAACACTGCTAAACAAAGGAAACAAAGTAACTGTTTAATTATTGGTAACAGGTTTTCTGCATGACAAAGTTTTTTGAAAAGATTCTACCAAAATACTTTTATTTCAATTTTTACATTTGCTCAACAATTTGTAATATATATAGTAAAACACACAATAAGAATAATCAAAAAATTTCACGCAAGTTTAATTTTTTGTGATCTTAACATGATTTCAAAGAAAACATGAATTGAATCATTATGAAAATAATTAGTTCTTAGATACGTTAGGTACACTGTCACTCTAGGAGTGATGTATCTTGGGCAAGGAAAAGCTGGGTCCAATGACTTTTTAAATTTTTTTTCTATTTGAAGCAATATGTCTTCTTTCAGAAAGTCTTTTTTTGGAAGAAGGGTACATTTTTTATGTACCACTTATGACACACAGAAATTAGGAAATCATATCCTGTAGGAAAATAGGAGCTTGATACACTTGACTCATAAAATCAAAAGACTGTTAGGTTTGAAGAAAAATTGTCGTTACCTTAAAAACTCATATCTTAAAACATATGACTTACCTGCGAGGCCTTAACAGATAGGATTTAGGTTCAATTACATTGTCTCCCTCAATCTGTATTGCTGTGTGAATTAAAGGGATTTCTACCAGGCCCAGGAAATCATCTCGGGTCTGAAATAACATTGATGTTAAAATACTGAGAAAGCAGGGTAAACTGTTTACACTTCTGTGTTTTCTTTATTACACACAACTCAGTCCACTTACAGGTATAGACCGTATTAAGTCTTTATAAATAAAATGCAACAATTTTCTTTACATGAAACAGTTTACAGAACCTATACATTTATGCATACTTGGTTGTTTTCAGTATGAACTATTGAACTGGTAATATTGTAAAACTGAGAACAGAACCTGTCATAACAGAAACTGCACATCTTAGAATAAAGTCTGATACATGTATTCTAGTGGAGACTAAATAAATGACCAAAGCATGCTTACCACTCTGTTGGAATCAAACACTTCAAATAATAGTTTATTATCCCTGGGGTTTACCTAAAATTGAAACACAGAATATAGCATTCTAATCATTCCTATTATATTAATGTTACAATATTTGATTTATGTTCAATTTTTTACATGTTTTAAATCTTTAACACATTTAAGAGCCTAAACTTTTAACACTATTTTTTTTCCATAAATTGCTGCAATAGCAGTAAATGTTCAAAACTCACCCTAAATAAGAACTCTTCATTCCACACAGGATTTAATGTCTGCAAATAAAATAAATAAACGGGGATTAAATCTTTTTTCTCTGGAAATATAATAAATCTGTGTAAGAAGTTCACTTTAAAACCTTGTGTTGAATACAATCATGCAGCATTGGTGAGACAAGACTATCATTCAGAATAGAATGCATACCAGTTTCAAACAAAAGTTTTGTGTAACTTAAGAAATAAGTTTCTGGTGATTGGGTATAACTTTTTACCTTTTTAATTGTTGCTGTGGTAGCAGAGTCTATGAGTCCAGAATCTCTGTCCCCTCTAAACAAGGAAATCCTCACGTATGGATCACTAAAATAAAAGTGATGGAAAAATTCAATATATCATAAATGTAATATAAATCATGATACAGAGTGAAAACATGTACATATACAATGTTATGTATTCTACAAGGTTACTATCCTAAATAAAAATCAATATAATTTCTAAAAACAAATATCTACACTTCTTTTGTCTTTATTTCCCATTAAAGTATTCCATATACTTAATTTTCAAATTTGTGCACTATTCACAAAATGTGAAACTTCAGAGAAATTAAACGACTAACGCCGTGTTATGTATTTTTACTGAAAAATGTATGGCGTCCCTTTCATGTGAAATATAAATTATTCCTAAGAGTTAGAGAGTACAGTATAAGCGAATTATAATTGTATATCTCTGCCATAATAGAATACCAATGTTATTATAAAGAAGAAAATAGAATAAGATTAAATAAATACCCACGGGAAAACAGGTTGAAAATAGCTAATTGAAGGTGAGTATCTTTTTAATGTCAATTTAGCATGGAAATTTTTATTCAAAGACACAGTAAATTTTTTGGTTGCATTTTAATAGATACAATATATCCTGTTTTACCTTTATTTTATGCATTTCTGTGAAAATTGAGAGCGAGAAGTCATGAGAACAGGATTTTCTTGGTTTTTTTTTTGTTTTGTTTTTTTTTTTGGGGGGGGGGGTTATAAATAAAAGTCAATGTGTACAACTTTTCATGAGCTTATGCATTGAATATCTCAATATAGATCGAGGTACAGTCATATTCAATTATGAATTACATAGTCAAGTTTTCACATTTCTTATAGTTTTTACGTTTATGAGCATGTTAATAAACAAACTGAAATAATGGAGTGTTCGGTTGCGCCTTGGAAACTCTTGTCTTAATTTTTGGGAATATAATTCCTCATCGAACATAAAAATTCCATAAAAATTATAGCCACTTCCTTTCTTTATTATACTATTTGATAGACAGGGTAGATTTTACCTTCTGTTGTCTATTTTACGCATTTTTTTTTATATCGCTATCTTAAAACCTCATTATAATATGCTATACAACGCACTGATTGGTTCTAGACAATATGTCACAGTTTTCTTTTATTTATTTTATCTGTGATACTTATTACTCATGGCAATAACTTTTCCTAATACTCATCTATGAAGAAAAAATGTGTTAAAAAAATAAACATGAATTTATTTACTGGTAGTATCATATTGTGTCAGAAAATAACAGGTTGCTTTTTGTTTACCTGTATAATTTTTATTTGATGAATAAATCTTCCCTACAGTAAACCAGAAGTCTCTGTCGAGACTGTAGCTCTACTGGTTTGTACTTATCAAAAACCATTGCACTATTCTATGTATCTTGGTGTAGTCTACTTGTGTGCCAACTTATTTTGAAATCAAACTAAAACTGTAGAAGGAGTAGCGTTTTAAAGGAATTTCACAGAAAATTCTATTTTTAGTAACCATGGCAACACCGTTCAACTAAATTAAAAAACCGATGCACTATTCTATGTATCTTAGTGTAGTCTACTTGTGTGCCAAGTAATATTGAAATCAGACCAAAACTGTAGAAGGAGTAGTGTTTTCAAGGAATTTCACAGAAAATTCTATTTTTAGTAACCATGGCAACACCGTTCATCTAAATTAAAAACCGATGCACTATTCTATGTATCTTAGTGTAGTCTACTTGTGTGCCAAGTAATATTGAAATCAGACCAAAACTGTAGAAGGAGTAGTGTTTTAAAGGAATTTCACAGAGAATTCTATTTTTAGTAACCATGGCAACATCGTTCACCAAAATCAAAAACCGATGCACTATTCTATGTATCTTAGTGTAGTCTACTTGTGTGCCAAGTTATTTTGAAATCAAACTAAAACTGTAGAAGGAGTAGCGTTTTAAAGGAATTTCACAGAAAATTCTATTTTTAGTAACCATGGCAACACCGTTCATCTAAATTAAAAACCGATGCACTATTCTATGTATCTTAGTGTAGTCTACTTGTGTGCCAAGTAATATTGAAATCAGACCAAAACTGTAGAAGGAGTAGTGTTTTAAAGAAATTTCACAGAGAATTCTATTTTTAGTAACCATGGCAACATCGTTCACCAAAATCAAAAACCGATGCATTATTCTATGTATCTTAGTGTAGTCTACTTGTGTGCCAAGTTATATTGAAATCAGACCAAAACTGTAGAAGGAGTAGTGTTTTAAAGGAATTTCACAGAGAATTCTATTTTTAGTAACCATGGCAACATCGTTCATCAAAATCAAAAACCGATGCACTATTCTATGTATCTTAGTGTAGTCTACTTGTGTGCCAAGTTATATTGAAATCAGACCAAAATTGTAGAAGGAGTAGCATTTTAAAGGAATTTCACAGAAAATTCTATTTTTAGTAACCATGGCAACACCGTTCATCTAAATTTAAAACCGATGCACTATTCTATGTATCTTAGTGTAGTCTACTTGTGTGCCAAGTTATACTGAAATCAGACCAAAACTGTAGAAGGAGTAGTGTTTTAAAGGAATTTCACAGAGAATTCTATTTTTAGTAACCATGGCAACATCGTTCACCAAAATCAAAAACCGATGCACTATTCTATGTATCTTAGTGTAGTCTACTTGTGTGTCAAGTTATATTGAAATCAGACCAAAATTGTAGAAGGAGTAGCGTTTTAAAGGAATTTCACAGAGAATTCTATTTTTAGTAACCATGGCAACACCGTTCATCGAAATCAAAAACCGATGCACTATTCTATGTATCTTAGTGTAGTCTACTTGTGTGCCAAGTAATATTGCAATCAGACTAAAATTGTAGGAGGAGAAGCGTTTTGAAAAATTGTTTAGAGACAGACAGACAGACGGACGGACGGACGCCGGACGCATTACTATCGCATAAGCTCTTCTGGTCTCTGACCAGTAGAGCTAAAAATATATAACCGAGTTTAAACGACCGTGACATTCAAAGACATATAGCAAAAAACTTTGCATTAACATTTAATTCAATAATTGCGAAAGGAGAGGTCTCTTGGACACATGCAGAACACAGTCAGGTTGTTTTGTCAGAGGTGGTCAAGAAGCCTTTAGCCCCCCCCCCCCTCCTTGAAGTCGCTAAGAAATGGTAAAATATTGATGACTTAGCGAAATTAAACGATCAACAGTTATGTTCTCTCATAAGCTGTATTCCTGAAACTATCACTGTCTCTGCTAAAATGTTGAAGACATATTCTGCAAATATGTATGAATGATAAAAAAAAAGATTTTCCAAAAAAAAGAAGAAAAAAAAAGAGAGAGGAGGGTTTTTTAGCCGAAATTTTAGACATTCTTATTATTACATTATTTATACATTGATAAATAAATTTGATTTTATGCACAAGATGAATGTGAAAGTAATTAATGACGCATAATTAGATACGATAGACAATCCCTTGTTTATACATGGCATTATATCTTGTGTGTGAAATGTGTTTCCGTATAATTTGATTTATTTACAAATTGTTCATGTTTGTCGTGTTGATGTGGATTTATTATAAATTCCCGAATTCTGATACTTTACAATTCTGTTGTGTTGGGAATGAACATGGGGAAGATGCATATACTTTCAACATTATGAAAAATATAAAGCAAATCGAATGCCTTTTTGTGTGCAGATCATGAAATGCACTGAGCTCCACGGGTATTTGTTGTCCTGAGCGCATTAATCTTGATGCCCAGATTCTTACTTGGCTAGTGATACCTTTAGAAAACATTTGTATCTAGATGAAAATTAACTCGGCAACATGCGCCATCCCATTGTTTATGTTTAATTAGGTGATTACACCTCCTATACCTGATTTCGCGGATAATACCCGATTTCGAGTATTCTCTCCGACCTGTTAAATGCAGTCATCATTTTCCAATGGATTTTATTCTATAAACTATACAAAGCTGATATTGAGTCAACCCTTTATGAAGCATTATCATTAAGAACAGAGAAATGAGTACAGAAGGGGAAAAAAGAAGTCTAACTGGAATTAAATCTCTGATCCACTCCCATGTATTTGCTTTACAGAGAATCTAATGTTTGTTGTGAGATGTGTATTGTTTCATTATGTATATAATTAGTAACATTAAGTTTCTTGAACATTCCAGAGTGGTCAACATGTTTGGTCATTTTATCTAGAACATTCTTAAATTTTGTATATGTCCAGATTGTTCCAGTAATATCATGTTTTAACAATTTCTAGAATATTCTAGATTTATAATACTGTATAAATACCCTGTCAATTCAATGCATAAATAATAATTGTGGATACTTTGTCGTATAAGCACTATTGAGATATAACTGGGAGATATATTTTCACTGGGACATTGTGTGCAGAAACGGACACTCTGATGTATGTATTTTTAGATTCTTGCTAAGTTTGTACTTTATGTTTCATATACTTATTATATATTACTGTAAATAAATTATTGTTAAGTTTAAATTGTGTTATTGATCTTTGCTGGCATTTAGGGTAATTCTGACCCATAACAGAATTGGGGGCTCGTCCGGGATAAAGAATTTTTTTTTTGCACTTTTGCAGTTTATTGTCAGAATTTTGTTTATTGAACCGTTAAATTTGATTATAAGCCAGC